TTACAAGAACACTCGTTATCCCTTGGAATTCGTGTTAATGTTTGTTTGATTCATATAAGAACCAATTCATCTCATAAAGTTACATTCCGGATTAGAATTTTAATTCAATATTCCATTTAGCCAAACTAATGTTTATTTACATTATTTTCGGATAACCATAATGTGAAAAAAGTAAATTCTAAAGGAGCTCATTGTAAAATTTTATTGTAAACTATATTATTAAATATTTAAATAACTTGTTCATGACTTTCTTCGATGACTATTACTTTTAAAAAGAACGGTCGTATTTTTAAATTTGAACTTGTTTAAAATTTCATTTGCCATGATTACATGATATTAATATATGGCTACCTCTTATCGTATAATGGAATTAAATAATTTGAGCAAGGAATTTTTAATCAAATGCAATAAAAACTGGCACATCAGATTCTTTTTTCTTTGTGATTAACAGAAATGATCGAAAAATAGGTATTAAGTCAATTGTTATCAGTGCAAAAAGACAAATTTTTATGTGACCATTATTACAATTATAGTTGCTTATTAGAATAACTTGAGCGCAAATTATAAGTACCAACTGTAATATGAAATATGATATACTAGGTAATCGTAGTGAGTTATGGTAAATCCTTTTATTCTGGAAATATATCCGTTATGTGAGTCCCCATGCCAATTGCTTTTGTTTCATTGGCCCTTTTATTAAAATAAAAACCTTATACTACAAACCAATTGCGTAGACAATATTTTAAGAAATACTGATAATTTAGATAAATAAATAGAGATATTGTCAGGTATCAATATTTTAATTCTGCTTGCAGAACTTTGTTTTCGGCCCAGAAGCTGCAAGCTCTGAGGATGATCGCTACGCGATCGAAATGATCATTAGTGGAATTAAAATATTGATACCTGACAATATCTCTATTTATTTATCAAAATAAAAAAAGGTATCTACTTCACCAACAATCCAATTAATAATTACTGATAATTTAGTGTGATTGCCTTACAATTCGTTGTTTATAGTTCGATTTTTATCACCGAGCGTCTCTAGGCTCGTCTTCACGGAGGCATTATGCCACTGCATTTCGCGTCTTTCTCGGTTGTGCCGCTAATGTGGCATGATCGCAACTGTATCAAGCACTGCTTGCACTGCACGGTTGCGACATCTAGCGGCACGACTGAGAAAGATGCGAAATGCAGTGTCGTAATGATCCACCGTGAAGATGGGCCTTGAGACGCACAATTATAAAAATCGCATTATACATAAATGCAATATTTACAGCTTCTTAACATTTTAATCATTCCAGAGGTTGCTCTTCAGTCTGACATTTGTCGTAGCAATGCGTAGAATGAATATGAAAGTCTCATCAGCTGAAAGAAATCAGAAAAATTAATTAAAGATGGTGAAAGAGGCCTTCACATGAATAACAAACATAATTGAAATGTACATAGGTTCTATCACATAGGACCTTAAGTTTACCCGCAATCACCCAATGAATATAATATTCATTTGTTATCATTGATAATATACAATCCATTAATAATACAAAACGATTGCGAAAATGGTACGAATGAGAGCCAATACGTTGAACGTGATTCTGTTCTTGTAAATAACTGTAATAAATATAACAGGCGACAGCGGGGCGAACAATGGGCGCGAAATGTTGATTTGAAAAGGTCTCCGAGTAACGAACGCCGGGAATGCTGAAGACGTCTCAGAGAAAGTGTAATCACTATCATTCAAATGTATATGACGCATTCATTTTCTTTTTTCCTCAATGTAAAAATTATATGCCCCGAGAGAGCATTTTCAGTTTAGAGATGAACCATCATTATCAACAGGTTTTATCGTTATTAGTTTCCATTTCTTTTGTCAACATCCCTTTCTAATACACTTAACACTATGCATAATGATAAATATAAGCCAATGCTTTGCCAGAGGCTGAGGGGAAAGGAGTCAAAGTTATTGGAAGATAATCGGTTTCTTAAAAAAATATTTTTTATTCCCATTGTGTTCTTCTATTAGATCTCTAAATCGCATAATGAAGATTATGAAACCATTTTATTATAGTAAAGACTTTTCACCAATCACAGAGAAGTTTACAAACCATATCTTCAGATACATTTAATTATTAGTCATCATTTTATTAAGAACCTGTATTACCACTTTCCGTAATTGCGCCGTATAACTGACTCCCAGTGAAGTTATCTTCTGGATAAAGTGTCTCGTATTACCACTGCTCGATAACCGAGAGTTAGTTATCCGCCACTTCACAATTTGCGTTGGTTGACAATACTTATAACTTTCTATCGTTACTTAAAAACAACAATGCTTTCTACCGTTATATAAATTAGTGTAAATAAGCGTTTTAATGTAGCGAAGGTTGTAATATTTATTAAAGTTAGAGGAGAACGCAATATGTAGTCGCTCGAGAACAAACTGCTGCTTCTTACAAAGAGTATGATTGGTTACTTTTATTAGTATTTATTTGAAGTGATTTTTTTTTCGCGTTCCAGGAACACATGCTCAGTCGCCTTGGTTGTCAGGGGTTAGCTTACTGACCTCTGAACCCCCAGTGCGCGTGTTCCATCCCGGCTGAGGTGTGTGGATTTTCGAAGGGCGGAAAATCGTCAGAAGTCATGTCACTCTTGTGGCATGTAAAAGAACCCTGGCAGACGTCCGGCAAAATTAAATCCCTCCGACAATATCATGCCCTCTTGTTCTCACTTTCCAACCAGATAGTTTGGATATAGTAAACTGAGACCGACATCTCTCGGAGAAAGTGAGTCAAACCCCAGGCGTATCAGGGGACCACCTGCGATGCGCACCTATTCGATTAGGTCCCCAGTCGCTCGTCCGAGGTAGGCTTCCACGGAAGCTTGGGTCGAAAACTCGGGTGTAGAACACTGCCTAAAGGCAGTCTTCCTGCTAGAAATCCCGTACGCCAAATAGATAAATAAACGTGCTCAGTAGAATGCATCCTGGCAACGTCACTCCCCTCCACGCGCAAATGTCAATCATCTTCTTATTTAAGGTATGTTCGTTAAATCGGTACCACGGTGAAGTACCCACAAAAAGTACTTTATTAGTGAACATGATGTTTTAGAGCAATTATTCAATACTTCTCTTTTCACTATTTACAAATAATTATTTAAATTCTCCGTTCACGTTTACAAGCAGCTATTGTAATCCGTAAACGTATTAGATGTAAATGGTAGATTCCGTAGATGTAAATGGTCGAGTATTTGAATAGCGACTCGCACAAACATACCTTCTTAATCGGACTCTATATTGAAACATTTTGTTGTAAAACGGAAAAAGAAGTTTGATAACAAACATGATTATTTTAATAAGTAAACATGATGATTTGTTATTATTACACTATTTCTACATTATATATATTACTAGCTGAATATGGCGTCATCAACTCTATAAACGTGTTTGACTTTTTTTTCTTTCTTTCTTTCTTCTGTTCAGAGTCTTTATTCAGAGTAAACGGCTTGTCAGCGTTGCGAACTAACCATTTCAATTTTGCAATTATTTTGTGATATTGAGCCCGATTTCTCTCTTCGGCTTTCCTGAACTTAAGTAATGTAATTGTTTCATAACATTGACTTCGTCAAGAGTTATTTCGAAATGTTTTTATTTCAATTTGTCATAGTACATATTTTTAAAATCAATTTGAAAAACATACGACGTTATTGGCAAATACTTTTGCACCTCCGGATCACTAGGCTTATCCTGATTTCTCATATAAAAAAATTATTGTATATATTCTTTGAAGACGCAACGCTGGTACCCGCAGCCCAGACGTAACGCTGGTCTCCGCAGTTCGACGAAACACCCATGCTCTTTTCGGAGACGTGCATCCACGGCCGTCCGATCCGGACAACTCAAAAGGCCCTCCACTTAGTTTCATTTTTCATGAAAGGAAATTCTTTATGTTTGTATTCTCGTATTCTTTGTCTTCTAACACTTCTTCTCTCTTCCTGTACGTCTGTCTCTCTCTACCCCTTTCACTCCGCTTTTCCTTGCCTTCCCCTGGGCCTTCGCATCCATCTTTCCTTTCTTCCAGGTGCGTCGAGCTGGAACAGCCATATCAGCGCACCGGAATGAAACATGTGAAATGATTTATTGATAATTAATTGCCACGTATTTTTTAGGCGAAAACGGGCGTGAGCTGGCTTGACGCGTCGCCAGCACACACATGTTAAAATCGGGTGTAACTCGACGTAAACCCTCAGATAATTAATTGCTAATTAATTTCCACAACTTGAAATTAATTGCCACGTATCTACGTGGTGAGGTGCTGGGCGAGAGCACAAACTTAAGTTAGATATACTAGGTGAATATTTACTTCAATTATTTCGCCTGCGAAGTAAGGTAGATTATGTTTGCCCAAAATAAAGATTTTTCATTCCAAGCAGGCCTCTCCTGAATTTTATCAAAGGTTCATACGCGAAGTGAAATATTATTAATTTTAATTGCTAATTAAAGTGCATATTTAAAAATGTTTAGGTCATATGTGCATATTTTCAAATGAATATTTCCACGTTTTTCAGAGCATAAAAATCATCTCCCTAATGATGATAAATATAAAGATAATCATCACCAAAAAGAAAGTTCTTCGAATCCTTTTGTAGTTTGTACGTATCTATCTGTAACACAGTTGATGGAACTGTCTCTATGTGACAACTCTTCTTATGCCGTTTTCTTGAGGGGCATATATTGAAAGACCTTCGTCTTGATTGAATTTGAAGTCGCTTTGTTGCACATTAAAACACGGAAACGGCAACATTTTATAATTTTCAAGTATTGTACTATAATATTACTTTCTAATTATTTCGTGAGGGGATTACTTATTTCTTGAGAGAAATAATTGCTACTTCCAAAATATTATTTTTGTTGTTGTTAACCAACTTATCAGTCCCGGTATTGGCAAAAACACATTTCGCTCGCATATTTTAAAAATAACTCTACTGCGTTTCTCGCGTGTATTTACCGCGGCAAAGAGCTCCAGTGAAAGTGTGGTGAAGCCGGCAGCTCGAATTTCTGCAGGCCTCTGGGCGCGCAAGAGCAGCATCTGCAAGGAGCGCTTGGACGAGATGGGCGCTTCGTACCAAGCGGAGCTGTAAGCTTCTAAGCCGCACTCCACGCTCTGCAACATACATGTTTCTGACGTTTCCGTTATGATGAAAAATCAGGTGACAAATACAAATCATAATGTGCAATAAATAAGAGCTATACAAATGACCCCCTCTTCCCACAGCTAACGTTCAGCGTGATCGGTTTCAATGCATAAGGGTCCAGGATCACTTGCTCCAGCTGCCTAGCAGTTAATTCTCTGGTAGTACTTAGCGGTCAAAACTGACCTATAATCCTGCTAACAAACCTATGTCCCAGGGAATAAGTTGGTAAGTGCAATGTATGCTTGCAGGTATGTTTCAACCTACACCCAGAGGACAAATCACAGAATATACACAAATTGAAACAGACTATTTAAATGTGATTAGATATGTAACGAAGATCAATGGAAAAAGAGGATAAATATTGTTCAACGGGAGTCAACGCTAGCGCCTCAACAGTTCAGCCGATTTTCTCCAAAATTGATAATTTCCGATTCTAATCGAACTCGAATGACCTGCGAGTTTGATTTTGGAGGATACTTCAACAGAAATCTCAATATCCATTCAAAACTGGCTCAAAAACTTTGGATTAAAATTTAACGTGAATAATTCTCAAAAAATAGTGCGGATCTCATTTTTGCTGAAATATCTAATTTAAAAAAATAAAAAGTTCAAAATGTTTTTGTTTTTTTCCTACAACTACAAAACTTAAGATACACACTGTTTTCTTTAGTTCTGTTTTTCACGCTTATCCCGGAAATTTACTAAATTGATTTCTTTCGGTGTATTCCTACAACTCTAATATTGAAATCACTAATTTATCCTTCCAATGAAATGTGTTCTTCACGATTGGTGCTTTAATTATTTTCATGTACTTTTTTGAAAATTTTAGTTTTCGAGTAATTGTTTGTGAAATATGGGCAATATTAAAAAAAATTAAATATAGGAATTTCTTAAAAAGGCTCCAAATTTTCTTTCTGTTTAAGGAGACTCAAACGCGAATTTGCTGTATTATTTGTTTTTTTTTAAAAAAAAACAACAACACGTGTGATTTTCTTTATAGTATATCTCTCACGTCGTTGACATTACCTGCGGTTTGTGTACATTAACGCTTCTTGGCGTACATATTCTTCAAATTATGTTTTATAAATTTTCTCAAAAACTCAAACGTTTTCTATGAAAATGAGCTCGAAATTCCGCGTTTTCAGAAATATTTAAATGCCATTATTTCTGAAACGGCTCTAACTTTTTTCAAACTTTCAAACGGATTGTGCTAATTGCAGTGTTTAAGATGAAAAAAATATTTTTGCTGAATTGTTTTTTTCTTAAAAAATTACACAAATGTAATTTATTTAATTTCCCTCACGCCTTTTATAGCCATTCTGTAGCGCTAATAGTTAGTACGGGGCTGTAGCTCGCTTAATGTTACATTAAAAACTATGGATCCTACAGAATGGTCCAGACTTTCTCGCACTGGTTAGTTTTCTAATCTCTTTAGTTGAGACTAGATCTTTCTCATTGTGCCACTCACTTTCCAGCTGCTACCTATCTACGCATTCAAGAACGTTTTTCACATTTTTTCAATTTTTCGGTCCTTTACTAGTAGAATTGAAAATAATTTTAAGATTATAGAAGAGTAAGAATGACCCTCTATGCACATTCTCATGGACAAATTTGGAGCAATTTTTGAGAAAGTCGTTTCAGCTTTTCCGAAAATGTACATTGCGATCGCAAAAACACGCAATCGTATTAACCTTATTGCCAGAGAAAACTATAGGGTTTTTGAGATACTTCATGATAAATCACTTGAAGCGCTTGTGGTCACTTTGCATAAATGCAACATTGTATTCAAAACGTCCGCAATGTAAATATTAAACGTGAGAGATATATAAAAAATACGTTTGTCTAATTCTTGAAAAATCATAATAATACATCAAAATGGCATTGGTGTTGTGTTATTCAGTTTTCAGTATTTAACACTATTCGTACGTAAAGGTTAAAGAAAAAAATTGAGGCGTTTTGGAGAAATGTTTCTTTTTACAGTTGCCTTTAGTTCACGTAAAATGACTAGAAAACTAATCATATTGTTAAAAAAGTTCATATGGCTTCATGTAAATATCTAATTCTGAAGATGAGTTTTCATTCAGAAGAAAAATCTCTTATCTTTAATACTATAGGGTCCAAAACCTTTTAAACGTTTGCAATTTCCGGAAAGTTAGAGAAATCAATGAAAATTTTTACGCCTACTTTGCTCTATCCAATAACAAAAAAATGAAAAAAAAGGCCTTGAGGCTTCATGCAAAGGAGCTCTAAAACTAAAATATTATTTTTAAAGAGAAGGGGCTGCGATATCTGACAGATCGGTTGGAGAAATTATGGTTAACATTATGCATACGGTTTAGCCGCTAGCATTGTTCGCAGACGGACAGTCAAACGTTTTATCGTAATCCAATGTTCCGATATCAAGGGCGCACAACACCAACTTCTGACTACACAACGTGTTAGAGAAAGTAATTTACTATTTGTTAACAGTAATTATTCACCTTTTCTTTATTAGCGACTTACAATACAAATATTTTTGCAGAAAAATCGCGGTTCTTCGCTGCGAAAGTTTGTAACATTCTCTGTATTATGTATGCAGTGTGCGAAAAAGGAACTAGTGGTGCCAGAAAATGGCACAGTCGTATAGTTAGTTTCCTGTTCTCTTGAATAGGGACAAGATTTATGGTTTCACGAAGGCGTAGCGGTAGTGAGCGGATCTGCCCGCAAAACGTTTATCCCTTTATGGAAGGGTACCGCAAACCCAAGTAGTGTTAATACCTGAAATAATAAAAATATCCTGTAACAAATTACTATTCATCAGTCTGTGATTAATCACCAATAATGGAAAAGTCTGCTTTTATTATTTAATTTTATGAAATTAAGACTGCTATAAAGCTTAAATTAATTGCTTACCATTATTAATTTAAGATCAGGGTTACATAAGAATCCAAAGCGGAAAAAAATAGTTTTTTTGAAAGATGCTGTTTTTTAATTTTTTTCGTGTAGGCGAACTCGGACCACGCGTGGATCCTGCTTCAGCAGGTGCAAGTAACTTTCTGGGGAGCGGGGGTATCAACATTTTAGCTGGAACCCCATTTTTATCCACCAATGTTGTTATCCCGGGGGTATGAAAGATGAATTGATTATGATGGTGGTGAGGAATGGAAGGACAGCACACAATATAGACATACACTCATGCCTGAGGCGGGATTCGAAACCGCGGTCTTTGGTACGACACCGTTACGGCACTACTGCTCTCACAATCTCGGCCATCTGATATTTTATTGCGTCAATTACCACGAAGTACCAAAGAAAGTATCAAGTAATTAATGTCATATAAACGCAAAACCTTCGGCCTAAAATGAGGCTTGTTTTGCCTGGATTGTGATCGCCCGCATTGTGAGCCTTGCGAGTCCGAACGTCATGCCACTGACCTCCACCCTCTTTCCATCTGCTTTCTATCGGTGCTTAACACACCTAACGTGTCCTATCACGGTCCCTAACGCTCCTCTGAGGACATTCCTTGTGAAGAGTTTCCAATTAGAGGGGTTGCGACATCAGCCAGATCTATCGAGGAAAATAAATTTTGGTGACAATTGTGCTTACGGTTGAACCGCTAGTGTTGTTCACATAGGAAAAAATTACGGACGGACAGAGATTTGCTGCAAACCAGTTTTTATCAAGGACCCACACAACGTGGATTCTGATTATACATATTAGTGGAAATAATTTACTACACCTAGGAACAAGAATGATCAACTTCTTCGATATCGGGGATCTACAATACGAATTTTTCTGCCGACGGACTCGACAGCCCTTGTTGATTTCGACAGCCGGACAGGCGGCGGCCCTTCTCGTGTCCGCCGCCTGACCGGCTCTCCTCTCTTTGTGAGCGTCTGCGAAAGAGGCACGCGGTGCCCGCCGTGACCCCATCCTCTCAATGAAAATCCGAGTGCCGGGGAAGAGGCGGCTGCGCCCTCGCACATGCTCACCCGCCGAAGATTACTCGCCGAAGAAAATTTTGACGCCCAGCCAGCTAGCCAGCCAGCCCGTCTACCCTGCAAGACGACTTGCTGGGTACTTGCGGATTACTTGCCGACATAAATTATTTTATCCCTTGGAATGAATTTAAACAGTATTCTTTTTCACTTACTATAATGTTCAACGAAAAAATAACTAAAGATAATCCTCTAACGGATTGAAAAACAATGGATATAAAAATAAAATCCCGCATTTGTTAAAGCACAAAAACATGAAGTAGACCGAAAAGAGGTAGGTTTTACAATAAATACAAATGTACAGAACATTATTTATAAGTTTTGAAAGTAGTAAGGACCTTACCACTGTTTGGATTTCTGTACCCATCACGCAGTACATGAAAAGTTCGCCTATTTCATAGAAAGCGAACAATGCTACAGCCACTAATTTGATGCCTTCAAGTCCACTCTGAAAGAAAAATGTAAAAAACACGAATTAGATCTAGTTCAGTATGTTAATGGCTATTGCAATTATCTTGGGAATATTGTCACGATAATCATGTGAATATGAAGCTAACCTTAAATTAAATTAATGGAAATAGGTTGAACTGAAAGTTACATGATCACCCATTTTCTTTGATAAAGTTCAGACAACCAGACGCCATTTTGTGTATCATGAATTTGTAGGCACTGCAAATTAATCAATTTATTTTAAAATTTTAAATTAAAAACTTAAACCTTGCCATAGAACAATAATTCTTAATAAAATTGAAAGTTATCAACTGCACACAATAAAAAATAATATCAATATCTATATCATCCAGGTCCAGATACTACTGAAATTAAAATGTCTTGGTTGAAAACTAGTTCATGTATTAATAATGAAAGAGTACCTAGTCATTACAAAATTGAAGCAAAGCTTCTATTAACCGTATTAACGATAGGGTTCGGGCCATGAACGATAATTATTTAAGATGTATTTCATTGTAATTGCGTGCGACTCAAAGGAAAATAAATTGATTGATGAATATATTGAAAATAAATATAAAAATTTAATAGTAGTTGTAGAAGAGTTGTGGGCGGTGTCTTCGCCTGCGTCATTTATTTTTTACTGCTTGCTGTCAGTTCGTTAGTCGTTTGTTTGTTCTAAGAAAAACTGCGTGAGGTAATAGTTGATCGCACCCTGCGCACGGTCTATTCAATGGTTCAGTCGTGGAATCACTTTTGCGGTCCACTTACCGATGATTGTCTGGCTCTGGCTCCATCTTTTTTGCCATTTCTGCGCCGTGCGGCTTTCTTGGCCTTGTTCTGTTTGTGTGTGCCAGATGTCCTGTCGCTCTAAAGCAAGTAAGTCGGTTGGCGGCTTATTTGTTATTACAAGAACGGCTGTCTCGGAGACTGTGCAATATGCACACGTAATTCTGAGTGCGTCGCATCTCTGTATTTCTGCCATTTTCTTCCGGTTCGATTTCTTGTTCAACGCTCCGGCCCTTATCTCTGCTCCATAGAGGAGTTTTGATAGAGTCACTGTCATTAAAATCCCCGTTTCCTTGGCTTGAGGCCGTTGGTGTTGGCCATTAATCTACTCAGAGCAGTCGTGTTGATTTGCCTGCTGTCTTTTGTAGATGCGACCAAAAATTGAGTTTCGTGTCAAAAGTCACTCGCAGATACTTGGGAGTGTTGACTGTTTTGATATCACTGTCTCCCACTCTATCTGTTATTTTTGTGGGGATGTGCTTCCGTGTCATCATGACTATTTGGGTCTTCGGTTCTACGAGTTCCAGTTCATGTTCCGCCATACACGTCTTGATAGTCTCATTGCTTGATTCGCCTTCCTTTGTGCTTCAACTGTTGAGCGTGCTTCTATGAGCAGACCTACAACGTCGGCATAGCCAACTAGTTCTGTACGGCATTTCAATTTCTAGTAAGCCGTCGTATAAGACGTTCCACAAGTTCGATCCCAGGATTGATCACTGAGATAATCTGCCGCTCAGTATCTTTTTCACTGGTCTTGCTCCATGTATACCAAGATGTGGTCCTTCAGATATTCCCGCATGACTCATCAGATTCCCCGGGACTTTGAATTTCGTCTGTAATGCAGTCATCATATCGTTTCACTTGGCTGAGTTGAAGACATTTTTCACGTTAAGCACAACGAGAATTGAGATACTGCTTGAGTTATGGTTGACTGTCTGTGCTGAGTAGGCGGCGTTGATAACAGCATGTACTGCATGAATGATGGAGTGTCCTTTTCGGAAGCCATGCTGCCGTTGTGACAGTCCTGCCGTTTCTATTCACAGTGTATTAATGTCTTCGAGGTTGGAGTAGTTTTCGAATACTTTTCCTACCGTGTCGAGCATACATAGAGGTCGATGTGAACTTACAATGTTATTACCTCCCTTTCCTTTACTGATAAGTACAAGGCATACGGTTTTCCACCGACTGCTGAAAACAGCATCCCTTAGACACTCGTTGAACATATCGACAATTTGTCTCGGGAACGCTTTAACCACAGACTTCACAGCCTCCGTCGGAACCTTGTCGGGAACAGGTGCCTTCCCTCAGTGATTGGGCTGCTTCGATTAGTACTCTTCCAGTGAAAAGTTTGTCCCGCCGTGGTCCCTTGTCATGATCTACTCTTTTCGGGGGATCAGGCAAAAGGGCATCAACTGCATAGTTGTGGCGTCCATGGCAGCGTCGGGGAAGTAGCCTAATTTTTTCATTGAAATTCTGTATCCAAGACTCCAAGGATCGTTTTCGACTTCATCGAAACGAAACAGGATGACAATTCTTCCTGTCTTTGATGGCGTTTTTGAGGGCCTTTCGGGCATTTCAATGGTCAGTGGCATGTGTTGGCCTCCTCTCGATCGCTGTCTTTTTGCTCCCTACAGCTGCGTTGGAGACACTTTCTTCTGAACTTCGCTATTTCGTCGCTCAACCAGTAGGTTGTTTTCCTTCTGTTTTGTGATCCTTTTTGTGTCCTGTGAATCGCAAGCCTACTCTATAAGTTGCGTTGTAAGTGCTACTCGTTTCTTTGCACTAGATTTAGTTTCGCCGTTGGCAGCGATTTTGCCACATCATTGGTCATGAGCTCCACAAAAATGTCGATGTTTAGCTTTGCGGTGTTCCACCGTGCTGACTGTCATGGGGTGTGGTACCTGACAGGAGTTGCGTACAGTACATGGAGCTCGATGTATTGATGATCGCTTCCGGACTTCCTCCCCAACCTGTCTGTGTTCAATACGCGCCGCTATACCTTCAGTGGCAAATGTCACACCTGGTATAGTTTCCTTGTACCCGGGGCGTGTAAAGGTTGTTGTTTTGCCGGTATTGCGAACAAGTAGACTTAGTTTCGCTGCCTTTTCCATTCTGCTGCTCTCGCTTTGTAATCACCCGTAACGACGAGTTCTCTATTCAAGCTTCTGAGCGTATCCTCTAGATTTTCTAACATCTCCTGGAATTTTTCTATGAATTCGCTCGGATGACGGGGCACATACGTGATCTCAGCTATTCGCCCCCAAACAAACACGTCTTCCCCACCACGAGCTTGTATCCTATGAGTACTCGTGTCCGATACCCAAATAGTTGTCGTGCCTGTTTCGTGATTAAGGGAGCCAGGAACGTCTCGATTAGGTAGTAATAGGAATCTGCAGCTACCTCGTTTCCGATTTGTGTTTGCAGGTCGTTAGCTGACCGACTCCTGTTCATGTTTCCTTGAAGTATACGGATCATGATCGAGCTTCTGGTCTCTACGTAATTGAACGCTGCTTCAAGTTTCTGGGCCTCCCAGAAAAGTAAAAATGAATTAGAAATCTGTAATTTTTATTACAGATGATAGCGGTAATTTTTGATATAGATAATTACGAATTATTAGCGGTCCGAGTTTCGTGGTTTGAGTTTTTAAAAATTCCTTTATTTCAAATACGAATTTTAATTTTTATTACAATTCCTATGAACTAATATAAACTATCCAGGGAAACATTTTAAAAATCAACATTTTATTTCTAATGATAATAAATAATGTCTTATGACCTTGTATCGGTGTGCCATTGTTAGACAATGATTATCAGAGGACTATTTGGACTGTTTTATCACTTGTTCACAGTATCAAATGTTGAACAATTTATCTTAATTTTTACATTGTATTATTACAGAGGGTATAATTAATTACATTGCACATCACTTATTCATTTCACACTTTTTATGGTACTTATTTATTAAGGATTTAGAATCTTACCGTAAGAAGTAAAACCGAGGCACAGAGCAGCATGGACATTCCAAGACTATGTATAAACATGATAGGTCCCAGAAAGGCCGACAATTCTTCCACAAAACTGCAACAGGTTATTGAAATAAATTATTATATTGTTGTTTGTTTCTGTTTTTCTGAGAAACTCTTATGAGATAATTACTGCAGGAAACTGATTTGGCGTCTAGTATCTTGTTTCTCTCGCCAAACACAATACGCAACAAAAAACGGAAACTTTGGAACCCGGGCTGAGAAAGCATTCAGAATGGGGCAAAAGTTTCGTTTGTTTCCGTTTTCTTTGTTAGGATAATTACAAGATATGACTTCAACCATGCTTTTTGCAATATTTCATGATTGCTCCATTATTTTATGTTCTTCAGAATGTAATACTGACCTCTCAAATTCAGTCTTTAGTCAAAAACAAAAACTATATAAATATAACTGCTTTTAAAAACGATATAAAAGCATGTATTCCTTGATCCGTTAGTCCATGTATTTCTTAAAATTCCATCTCAATAACTTAGGGCAAACTCCCCCCAGAATCACTTTTATAAAACTTCTTGCAAATATAAAACCTGGGTGGTGGGCCTTCAAGCATTCTCACCTATAAAGTTCGTATTCCTTTTCCATAACTCCGAAAGTTGAAATAACTTCTCCAAACCTTTTCAGAAGTATCCTGATACACTTGTGTAGAGAAGCCTCTACAAAAGTGTAGAAGTTTTTGCTCTTAAGCCCAGAGGCCATCGGAGAGAAAAACAACTGCTAGAGCAACCTCTCGGTCGCGGATGGAACGCATTACTCCTTTCCTCGTTCTCTCGCTCCCACTCTTAGGCCGGGCGATGGTGTGTTCCCTAAGGTGGCTAGAACTTAAAAGCCAAAGCACGAGGCATTGTGACTTTTTCTTGACTTAAAACACCGGGCAAAACGAGTCACACGGAATAATAAAAAACAACATTATACACAGTAAGTGTAGTAAACTACACGTTTTAAACATGAATAGAAATGAATATCACGAATAAAAAAAAAAATAAGCCCACAATTTTAAATATATTTCAAGTATTTATTTGTAGAACTTACTTTTTGCAAAAGTGGTACAATATTTTCAAGTTAGAAATTCATTAGAATGGAAAATTTAAAAAAAAATACTCATTTGTTTCATTGGCACTTTATTCATTATAAAGTTGGCCCACATTCCTCAATTACGATTGATTACTAAATTGCATAGAAACTCACAGAAGCAAATGTTCATATTGTTGAACTTCTCGGTAGTGATATCGATAGTGATACACAGGGCTGCGATTTATATTCATTTGCATATTTTTTCTGTTAAGTAAAACATCACGTTTCAACAAATTGTATACGTTTTGAGGCATTTAGAATCAATTAAACATATTTTATATTGCATGTTTTCGCTTGTATTACCATAATTCCACATTTCTCTTATTGTGTCATATTTGCACATTTTTTTAAATATTCGCGAAAAGAAGCCCAACAGTTACAGTTCCGTCAGCGTGCGTGTAAGCGGTTGTGTCAGTTCTCTCGCCACGTGCTATGGTCGTTAGCTACGTTTCATAGAGAATCATAAAAAAGGAGATCCAGAGTGAGAAAGAGAGAGTGAGGGGGATAATCATCCAAACGGAGATCCAGAGAGAGTGAGACTGAAGGAGGGGGAGAATCATAAAAAAGGAGATCCAGAGAGAGAGAGAGAGA